TATCTTTATGGGCAAACGTGTCATCCTTGCATAGTGGTGGCTTGGAGTTCTGAGGGAATTGGATTTTTTCTGCCAGTGTAAACACAGCCATACATTGTCTGATAACTGAGGGAGAATGTGAGCACTGTGTGCTTAGGCGCTGCTGTTCTCAGCGCCGTCAAAATAAAAGTCCCACCTCGAACGCATCGGCTAAACAGGAAAACTTATCGGCCGATGCCGATATTTAAAAAATGGCAAATATCGGCCTTGGCGATATATCGGTCGACCACTATTTGTGTTAAATCAATATTATTAAAGTAAAATATTATTAGTATATCTCTAATATTTGCTGTAAATGTATTTACGGTGTCATCTTTATTGATTTCTGTTTCAGAGAACATTATGAAGTTGAATGAGAGGAGCGTGACGCATTATGCCACATGCAACTCTCCTCCAGACAAGACAGGCTTCCTCTTCAAGAAAGGGGAACGGAACACGGCGTACCACCGCCGCTGGTTTATTCTGAAGGGCAACATGCTGTTCTACTTCGAGGAGAGGGAAAGCCGAGAGCCGATTGGCGTCATCGTCCTGGAAGGCTGCACAGTGGAGCTCTGCGAGTCGGAATCCGAAGAGTTCGCCTTCGCCATTAAATTCGATTGTGTCAAAGCGAGGGTCTACAAGATGGCCGCGGAGAACCAGGCCACTATGGAATCGTGGGTCAAGGCTCTGTCCCGGGCGAGTTTCGACTACATGCGGCTGGTCGTGAAGGAGCTGGAGAGGCAGCTGGAGGAGGTACAAGAAGAAGCCAGATCTTCACAAGCCAAAAGCAAGCCGAAGAAGCACCAGCCGCAAGTGCAAGGAGCAACAAGCTTCCAACCAGCAACCTTTTCGCTACAGAACGCCGCCATTACAGGGCCTTCGCAGGAAGGGGTGTCTAGCAGAGAAAATGGGGTGTCTTGGAGTAAACCCACCAGCATGCCAAACGGTGTCAGCGAGGGCTGCGTCTGGGAAGGGGACTGCGGGAGGGGGGATGGAGTCAAACCACCTCCGGTACCTCCGCGGAGGAAGACCAACGGCGGGTCACTCGAGAGCCCCGTTTCACCCGGCACAGGCTGCTTCTCCAAACTACACGACTGGTACGGCAAAGAGGTGGCTGAACTGAGAATAGAATGGCTGCAGAGCCAGTGAATGAAATCCACAAGAGACTCGAAATATACATCCGCACACAAGACATGCTTAGTGCAATCTCGGTTAAAGACATAATAGGTCAAATTCATCTAAAAACAAAGAGAGCATTAGAATGATAATCACTCGTCCACTGTTACTGATGTTTTTTATTTCGTTAAACAAGACCAAGCCATTTTTTAAAGGAACATTCTGTCATCATTTACTCACCCTCATGTCTTTCCAAACCTCTCTGGAAAATCTAGTTTAAACGTTTTTAAATACAGGAGAGTACAATAAATGTTTTATCAACTGTATGCACCAATGTGACAAAGTAAACAGCAATAGTAAATAGTGCAACAGCAATAGTGCAATATTTTTAAAGCAAGTGCAGCGTTTTTCATTGTTTTAAAAAAACTGAAAGTATGCTGAAAATGTACTCCCCTCATTCCATCTAAGATGAAGATGAGTTTGTTTCTTCATCTGAACAGATTTGTAGAAATGTAGCATTACATCACTTGCTCACCAGTGGATCCTCTGCAGTGAATGGGTGCCGTCAGAATGAGAGTCCAAACAGCTGATAAAACATCACAATAATCCACACTAACATCTTGCGAAGCGTAAAGTTTGTAAGCCTGTTAAGCCCTCATAACCACTGATGCATTGTTTTTAATTGTTTTGGATTGTTTTCACTTGTAAATGGTGCTTAATCTGTGCATATTTCTCTCCTGATTCAGACAAGATGACTTTTACTTGTGGATTATTGTGATGTTTTTATCAGCTGTTTGGACTCATTCTGACGGCACCCATTCACTGCAGAGGATCCATTGCTGAGCAAGTGATGGAATGCTAAATTTTTCCAAATCTGTTTGCACGAACAAACATGTACATCTTGGATGGCCTGAGGGTGAGTAATTTTTAAGCAAGTTTTCATTTTGAGATTAACCATTCCTTTAATACAATGAAAAACATTGCATTTCCTTGAACTTTGTTGTGAGTTGACCTGAATGAATCATTGAATCAGTTTTGAATCGATTCATTAGAACACACAGTTTGAACTAATGCACAAAAATGAATTTTACAATCTTTATGCTATGTTTGCTACTTAATTTAATTAAGAGATGCTCTTAAAATAATCTTAACATTCCTGTACTTAGCAGTTTGTGAGACAAGGAAGGTTTGAAAAACAAATCTAATGATGATGTGTGCAAGTCTTACAAACCGATATAATAGCTTTGTGTTAGGAAAAGCCTAACATTTGTGTTTTTGCATGTTTCTCAAGGTTTGATGTTATATGATGTCAAACATTGCTTCTCACATCTCGTTGACATTAAACCTTGCATCATGTGTCTTGATGCACCTTGATGCAAGATTTTTTAAGTGAAAATTAAAAATTTGGCACACAAAGATTTATGACTTTACAATACTCAGATTTGGTGCATAGGTTGTATGGACTACATTTATGGTGCTTTAAGTTATTTTTGGAGCTTGACAGTCCCAGTCCCCGTTGTAAAAAAAGAGCATTCTGGATGTTCAGCCAAACTTCTTCTTTTGTGTTCGTTGAAGCAAGAAAGTGATGCTGGTTTGGAACGACATGAGAATGAGTAAATGATGATGCTGTCTTCTTTTTTTGGATGAACTATTCCTATAAATTCTCGCACTTAGATTCATTTTGGGATTTTCCTAGAACCTCATGTTGAAGTGACTTGACATTTCCTTCTCATTTGTTTTTTTTTTGTTTGTTTTTTTAGGTCTCTTACTTGCATAACAACATGAATTTCCTTTTTCACAATGTTTGTCTTGATAAAAATACCTGATTTTCAGATTCACAGACACTTGAATGTTAAGTATTACAGTGCCAAAGCTGGTCTATGGCAATTTGTAATCATTTTACAATATAAAGTAGCAAAACAAAATATTGCTTAACAGCACAAAAAGTTAGATGTATCCCAAGATTTTTGGCAGTGAATTTTATGCTGCATTTCACGAGATCTACAATCCAACCTGCCAAAAACATAATTGCCAAAATGATTTCTAACTTTAAAGTATGTAATAGTGTCTCAGACAATGGACTTGTCTAACTAACCAGCTAACATGTAACCTTCTGTTGATGGATCTTTTTTCTAAGCAGCTCTAATACACGGTTATTCTATTTTAGGTTAAGCTTTGCTATGCTTAATGATATATTATCATTCTTGCCAATAAGCTTGTTAATGCTTTGCCTTGCCTTTTAAAACTGACCAATTATAGTCATCATCATACTGTGACCAACATTTAATACGTTATCGAATATATACAGACAACTTATTAATGGCTTTTGTAAATGCATTTTAATGGTACAAATTGTGTGCAATCCTATAATCATATTTGGGGAGATTTAACCTATAGTGACACTAAATGGGATACGTGGCTGTCCAACCGCAGTGCCTTCAGATTTCATCTAAAACACTGTGTTAGATTCCACAATGCAAATAGGAAAACACCAGCAAATAAGAGATGAATGTGGATAAACAGCTTGTGTATTAACCAGGTACTGATAGTAAAATGACAACAACTGCAATAAAGTTAACTTGTTGCTGAATAAGGTTGTATTGCAATAACCAGATCTGAATGTTTGGTCAAAACGGCCTTTGAAAATTACATTGCGTAGAATATTAAATTTGAAGGAAACAAGAATGTACGTTTAATGTTTTCAAATGAGTCAAATAAAGATGAGCATCCTCATAAAATATGTATAGCGTTTTGTTTTTTAATAAAAACGTGAAGTCCCACAGTCTCACCACAAGATGGCTCAACATTACTGTGCATAAAGGTTTCACGCACATATCCTGTCATTGCATTAGTTAGAAATCTCCATGTAATTAATTTAATTTTGTATTTATTTATTTTTTTTTATTTATTTTTTTTTGTATGGAGAAGCATTATTTGATGGATGGTTTCTGAAACGTACTGTAGTAAAATGTCCTGTACATTTCTTTAATAGCATTACTGTGCATAAAGGTTTCACGCACAGATCCTGTCATTGCATTAGTTAGAAATCTCCATGTAATTAATTTAATTTTGTATTTATTTATTTATTTTTATTTAATTTTTTTGTATGGAGAAGCATTATTTGATGGATGGTTTCTGAAACGTACTGTAGTCAAATTTCCTGTACATTTCTTTAATATGTAAAGAAATAAATTAATGTGCATAATAAAAAATAAATCATGAAACGTACACTTTAACATTATGCTCTTCATGACCTTTTACAAGGACATGAAAGTAAACATTAAGTTTAGAGTGGATTGTACAACTGTGGAGTATTTTTTTTCTACGCTGAAGATTTCATACATTTTCATACAATTTTATACTATCTCACAGCTAGTAACACGCTTTTAATGGACATCATACATTTGACGACGGAAACTTCAAAATCTATCACGTGAAGCCACAAAGTAAGCACTGAACTTGAAGCTGTTTTTAAAATAAAAGTCCCAAAGCGCTACATTAAATTGAGATATGTCAAATAGTGAAAGTAGCGTCCGATGATGTTAAATGCTATGCTTCCAACTATCGTAAACATTTATTTTTTTACAATTTACAATTATGCGTGCAATTTGTATGAGCTATTAGTAACTGACTGGCTTTTCACATTTTAGTGAACGGCAAAAAAAAAAAAAGTTATATTATCTATATGTTATATATATATATATATGTGATTACACTATTTTCTGTTGTGAAATATTACGTATATCATATATAGAGATAATAATAATTAAGAAGGTTACAGACACCACATGGCTGGCTTCTCACACGTAATGGGACTTTTATTTTGCCGGAAGCTCAGATGTCTCGCAACGTCAAGGATTGTTCGTCGCTTGTTGTCGCTGTGTCCATGGAAAGTTTGTGGGGGGTTTTTTTTCCTTCCTGAAAGTTTACGCAGGGCTGTTGTTGCGCGCATCCAACATGCCAGAGAAAGTAACGGACATCACGGCTGGCAGGCAAGTCATGTTTAATATTTGTCACGGCTCTCTCTGGCAGCATGTAAATGTGTTTAACAGGATTCAGCAAAAGGTTAACTGTGAGTGACAAATAATCCCGACTCTTTCGGGCCAGAAGTTTCTTGGTCAGCGCAGATAACGCAGAACGTGAGAGTTTGAGCCGAGAGGGGGGTCTCCTGTCTCTGCTCTCCAGCAGTTATGACACCGCAGTAATTATTATGAAAGTTGGGCTTGTGCATTCATAGTTTCGTGTAACTCATGTATTGAGTGTTGAGGTTATGCGCTGCTGCCTTCCCTCGCAAAGTTATAATGAACTTGACTCTGGCACGCGAGTGGCAGAAAGAATCCTTAAAGGGATCACGCCGTTTTACAGCGCGCGTCTGGCTCGGTCCGAAAAATACGTGAATTACGTACGGTTTCTTAGAATTTGCGTCATTTCGAATGGGCGATTAAAGTAAGCGTGGCAAAATTATTTTAAGAATAAAAAAAAAAAAACTGCACGTGCTCATGCGTTCACGCCCGCTCAGAAGTATCTTAATGGGATCTATTTAAGGCCGGTGATTAAGCCGTATTTTTTTTGTTGCACATAATATACATTCTTTTTATTATTATTTATAATAATAATGTAAAGCGAGCTCATTTGCATACTCATGCGAAATAGACTCGTGAACGTGTATGCATGACTTTATGCAGATGTGCTTTTTAGGCGACGCTGGAAACGCTGCTTTTACTCAAGTTTATGATATTTTTAAATAACAATAATAAAATAATATGACAAGCTTATTTGCATACACATTAAATGGGCTCGTGCACGTTTATGCAAATAGGTTTGTCAAATATACGTCTGTATCAGGCTACTGCTTTTATTTCCGTTTTTGATGTATTTTATTATTATTGTTGTTAATGATGATAATAATAATAATAATAATAATATGAGATACACTCAATTGCATGCACATGTGAAATGGGCTCGTGAACATGTGTATGCAAATGAGTTCACACCCGATATGATTTCATCATCTGGGCCTCTGGATCAGTTTGTGATGTTTATGTCAGGCAGATGTTATGGCTTTAATACAAATCGTAAATTGTGAAGGGCTTAGGTAGCATCTACCGAGTGTAAACTCTTCTTAGTTTATGTCGTTTGACTTGAGAGTGTAAATTATATATATATATATATATATATATATATATGTATGTGTGTGTGTGTGTGCACGCAATATTGAACGTTCATTATATATTAACAAGGTCAGTATGAACTATCACTTCTATTAACTGTACAGTCGAGAAAACAATGCAAACAATCTCATATGAATAGTATTTATCACTCATGACCAGATAATCCACGCCTAAATAAACAAATAAATCTCACATAACCAAACCTTTACCTTTGACTAAACGGCATAAGTCTGGTCCATATCGCAGCTTATTCTGCAAACGCCTACTTAGACAGGAAGTGCTTATATAGTGACCCACCACATTTTGTTTAGATGCAGGTTCATATGAGATATTAATAGATTAGATCAGTGTTTCCCAACCGGGGTGCCGTCTGTCGAGAGCAAAGTAAAAAATCCTTTTTTAATATTTTTAAATTGCTAAAATGTTCAAAAAAGCATCTATTATATAATATCCATTTCTGATGTCGCCAATAATTAGAGATGCACCAAAATTTCGGCTGCCGAAAATTAGTTCACCGCTCAGGTTTCACTTTAACGTGGTGTGACGCTCTGCGTTTTATCCCGCTTCTATGCGTGTGCGCTCCGCTCAGTCGCTCCACTCGTATACCGTTCATGCTCATTGGAACAGCAAAGTCCACTCAAAAATTGAGCCGACAGGAAACATCGATGTAGTACAGTATTGATTCTGTCTGCAATAGCCCTACTGTGTTGTAACATGGTGTGGTATATGGGCAACTCTGGTAACGCTGCCCTCTCATTAATTGATCTGCTAACCGCTATGTTAATATCTATGCTTTCAAATTATCACATCGAAGTTAGAAATTCAAATATTGTGACAAAATTGATTTTGTAGGGTGCCACAAGTTTGTTAAAATTTCCAAAGGGTGCCGCGACTAAAAAAAGGTTGGGAAACACTGGATTAGATTATACCACAATAATCAAAACAAAACAAACTTTGGCAAATACATTGATTAGTTGTACCTTATATAAACCTGACAACAAATCCAGTGTGTTGTTACTACCGGAAGTTGTGTAAAATAGGCAGAGAAAGTGCGACCGAGGAGACTAATTCTGATGCAAAATTCATTAGCTGATTATTTTGTACTTTTTTAATATTTAGTACACTTTATTTGGCATGATCAGGGTCCAGAGTTAACTTTGTACCACACCTGGCCTGGAAATTGAAAAAAAGTAACTTGCAGAAAATATTTGTAACAGCCCACAAAAATGTAGTTTGCATATATCAGTGTCCTTTTAACAATAGAGCCATTTAGCTTCCTTAAAAAGACCTTTTTTGTGTCAAGCAGCTGAAACATAAAAAATAAACCATGTACTGTTGTATTTTCTAATGGTTGTTATTTAAAATGATACTCTCATTTGGAATTTTTGCGAGTGTTAAGTTTGGACCCTGTGTTAGGGCTGCACGATTAATCGAATGCGATTGTCATGCGCATTTTGATAGTAATGCCGGTTCTGTAATCAGCAGGAAATCATCATCACATGCTTTCAGATGGAGCAGAATTTACTACACAGAGCCGTAGTTCACTGACAAGTAACGCAAAAGAAATCGTTCGCGATAATGACAGCTGTTTGCATAGCTTCTCAGTGAACTACGGCTCTGTGAAGTAAATGCTGCTCCATCTGAAAGCATGTGAAAATACCAGTAATGCCGGTTCTGTAATCAGCAGGAAATCATCATTACGTGCTTTCAGATGGAGCAGCATTTACTACACAGAGCCGTAGTTCACTGACAAGTAACGCAAAAGAAATCGTTCGCGATAATGACAGCTGTTTGCATAGCTTCTCAGTGAACTACGGCTCTGTGAAGTAAATGCTGCTCCATCTGAAAGAATGTGAAAATACCACATTTAATAACATATTTTTACTCACTTCATAAAGTCAGTCAAGTGTTTGAAATAAATCCTTCTGTGAGATGATGTGGCTTCTTACACAGAATAAGGCACGCAGCATATTTCATAGTATTTAAGCAGTGATAAAGGCATTGCATTATAAATATACTTTATTTTAATGAAAATTATAATAATAAGAACTCAGATAAACCGTATATTGCCGTAGTCGTGTGTTTATTAGTCACGTTCTTAGTCACTTCTCCGAGGCGTATTTGGAGTTTCAGCGCGAGAGCGCCCTCTGGCCTTTGGATGGAGATTAACTGCTGATCACAGAACAGTGCTTCACTGAAAGATACGCATGACAATCGCAGCTTCTGTCGAATCGCGATCTCGATTCCATTTCGATTTATCGTGCAGCCCTACCCTGTGTGATATTTATAACATGCATCAGTACAGTTTCAGTTTTTTGTGTCTAGACGTTGGGTGTATACGAACTTAACCCTTCTTAGATCTTTCGAATGTACAGCCGAGTACAGAGAAGTGCTGATGCTGCATGCTCACATATAGAACAGGGGATTCCGTTGCATCATGCGTTCATCTCTGGCTCTAAGAATCCCCCCGTTCCCACACTCGCTGGCCCCTCAACTCCCACCCATAGGGGAACAGTGTGTCGCGATGTGACTGTGTGATATGGTCGAAGGAGCCTTAAATGCTCAGAGTAGCGCGTTTCTTTTGTGTGTGTGTGTGTGTGTGTGTGCACGCATGTGTGTACATGCACTTCCTTTTGATCAACCTCCTCGGGCTGTGCAGCCTCATGAAAGGGTGCAAAGCCTCAGTTTATGCACTTTTCTGCCCTCTTGTTTGGTGTTTTGTGCATGCTGGTGTCAGGGAGAAAAAGAACGGCTATTGAATGGGCTTGTGCCAGCAGGAGAGAAAATGACAAGGTAGCTTTGTATCATGTTTGCGGTCGAGTCAAGAATGCTGTCATTGTGTGTTTGGCGATGCTGAAAGTTTGTCTAGCAGATGCACAGACATCGTTGAGTGCCACTGAGGTGTTGTAATGTGTTTTTGCTCATTTGAAGGCACACTTTGGAATGCCTCCCACTAAGTGCGTATAATAAGTGCTCTGTGCTAAAGCAAGCATCACTAGTGCTGTTGCTCAAATGTAGAATTAGGGCTGTGTTCAAAGTTTATGGTAGTTTGTGCTACGGACCTCAAATCAGTCAGAATATGATTTTCACACAGAGGATGAAGAACCTACATGGAAGACATATTTTATTATTTATAGACCAGGGGCCGGATTTATGAAAATAATCTCAGACCAGTGAGGCCTACGATCAATCAGCTCCTAAAAGAAATGCAAAACCTGTGCTAATTAAAAGATTGAATCCAATATTTGGTAATATTATAGCATAATGAGACATTTGTAAGCATTTTTTTTTTGGTCAGTGATTTTTAACCAGGAACAGTAACAATGTGGGGGAAAAGAGAAAAGAAAAGAAAAAAAAAAATCACTTTTTGCGGGGTTGAAGTAGTTATAGCAAAGTCAGTCATTTTTAGTCCAATCCTCCCTGGGTCAAAATGACCAGAGATTAACGTATTTCTTGAAATAAATTCTAATTAGAAATCGTAAGAATGATTCAAGTGCATTTTTTGGAAAATTCTTGACTAATTTCACAAATATTTTGTTAAAAACATCTTTTTTTAATTAACTCTTTCCCCGCCAGCATTTTTGAAAAAAGTTGCCAGCCACCGCCAGCGATTTTGATGATTTTCACTAAAATTTGATGGCCTCCAGAATATTTTGCTGTATGAATATTTGAATATGCAATACACCAAAATAAAGATCAGAGCCTCTACTTAAAAAAAATAAATAAATCAGTTTTCTAGCTTAATGCATTCTTATTTTATCAACACTTGCATATAGGTAGGTTTCATAAAAATGCATAATTTTGAGCAAAAAGGTGAGAAA